TATATATATATATATATAATTCTTTCATTACAATTTTCAACAAGAAATCATTATAATCAGTCATCTACAAGTAAACAAGTAGGTGTAGATAAATGATTATGCTAATACATGTGAATATACAATACTTACCTAGATCAACCTAACACTAAGTTAGCTCGGACTTCAATAATATATAATAACTCAATTTATAAAACAAAATGCATAAATTTGCAATGGCACTGAATAAAAAATAAAGACATACGAGTGACAAAAATATAAATTAACCTTTTCAGGCCAGCTTATATTATTAAGACACCAAACACTCTGGCAAAACACCTAAAATATGGATATGTTGATGAAAGAATTTTTAGACTAAGAATGTGAGTACAAACATTTTAAGCATGATAAATATTATTTACTTAATTCAAAAGCATTAGTACGTTAGTTCATTATCAATAACATTAAGTAAGCTAAGAGAAACCGACAACTTCAACTACGCCTAAGCTTGCTCTTGGTTTAGATGTCGCCATACAACCTCCTTATGAATCAGAAGGCTTCTCCTTACTTGCATAGTTGTCTTACATACATCCATTTGTTTCTCGTATGTCCAACAAATTAAGTAAAAGACCTCAAATAATGGTTGATAAATTTTAAACCATCTTCAAAGTTCTATAAAACTTGTGGTATGCAAGGCTAAATTGAATTAAAAAATTATGAACAATCAATATGCTAAATTATCTAAAATATAATATCAATATTACCAACAAATTATCCAATTGGTGGAGGAAGAGAACCAAAGAATAGAATGAACTTTCTTGGATGAACGCTTGATTTCCACTCATTTAAAATGTAATAATTGTGAAGCCTAAAAAATTATAATATATATATTTTTTTAATTTATTTTGCATTTTATCTTCTATTTTTGAATAAGAAGATGACAATAGAAAATAATTGTAAATAAATAATAGAAAAAAAAATTCTTATAAATTGCTTTCAAAATAACTCTATAATAGCTAGCCTAATTTTTATTGACTTAGACTAGTTACAATGCGACCAGTATGCATTAGGAATTTTTTTTTTTTGGGAACAAATATTGTTTGAAAATTAGATAATATTTTTAAAAAATCATAAGAAATATAATTTTAATCAAAAGTATATGATGTAATTTATGAAAGTAAGTTCATCAAAATAATTCAATGAATCTAATGAAATAGGAGTCAAGTCCAAATTCATTAACTATAGCATAGCTTCATTATTTATAACCACCATTAGTACATTAGTATCATAATTTTTTAAAAGAATCAAATTATATTCCCAAAAAAATAGAGATCAAATTAGATCCAAAAAAATTAACTTTTTAACATAGAATAATAGTTTTGTTAAAAAACTATCATAAGAATTTAAAATAAAAAATTCTGAACATATTGACAATAAAATAAATTTTAAAGTGTAAACTATTTTTTATTAGTTAACATTATTAGAGTTTTTAATTATAAATTATAATATTGATGAATCATCAATTAATTTTATTATTTGGCATTAATCTCAATATATTTTTTGAACAAAACAATATTCCGATTCAAATTAAAGATCATTTAGACCCCGATTTCAACAAGTTATAGTCGTTAAGGTAACCCCGATGATACCAAAATTGGTCAAATTTGAGTCCAAACAGTTCTAAATCAAGCCATTAAAACATATTTGAAGGCTTCAAATCATCAGTTGAATGATCAAATGAACTATAAATTTGGCATACTTATAGTTAAATCAAGTGTGTCGATGAGAGGAATCTAATGAGCCAAAGCCCACTTAATTTTGAGATCATTAAGGCTCTCAAATTATTAAAAGAAAACCCTATGATTAAGGAAATCATTAATATGGGACCTCAAATCAGGTGGTTACAAAAGTTATTCACCGAATTACTATAATGCTCCTCACCCAGGGTTTATAAATAAACCGCTTCTCTTCATTTAGAGAGGAAGGAGAAGAAGTTAAACTTCAATGATGTTCTAGACCGAAGATCCAATAATAACTTTCAAACTCCTCAGTCGTTGACCACCATCAACTGTCATCAAACTTTATAGTGTAACGATGTACCCCAAATACAACGTAGCAAATAAAATTATTTTGAAGATTCACGAGGTAGCTCCTGAAGATAGTTGTTTACAACTACCATATTCAAAGTACATTGACTTTTTCCATACTTGTGAGGATTAATTTATGTTTGTATATGCACAAGAATTGTATTTAGTGTAAAATTGTAACCCTGCTCTATAGGTTGCGAAGAAGAGATATATTTTTGTACTTACACACTCAAAGTGGATTGCTTTATCCGGGCTAGTCCCTCTGATTTTTTCCTTTTCAAAAAGTTTTCTATGTATAAGATCTTGGTATCTTCTGCTTCCTTTCAAATTATTTGTCTGTGTGTTGAATCTTTATACAACACTAAAACCTTAACTAATCACTCTTTTACCATGAATACTCTAATATGCGATAAATATAATGATATAACTATAAAATTTAAGCTAATTGCATGAAATTATAATAATATTAAAGTTAATTCATTATGAAATAAATTTCAGCCAAATGCTTTCTAATTTTTATAATTAAAATAAATAATAAATGCTAATAAATCAAATAAAGATTCAATAATTCCAAATAAAATTTTAAAATCTATAGATAATTTTTGAATAATATAAAAAAAAATAATGCTTGAATCAAATTTGATCGAAATAAAATTATTTTTGGGCATATGTTTATTATTCTTGAGATTTTGATAAATGTAATTTAATTAATTTATATTTAAGCATGCCTAAACTCACACACTAGAGCAAGTAGCCTTTTATCAAACTTTACATTTGAGTATTCATAAATTTTCAAATTACACAAGAAATTTAAATAAGTCTAGTGAATGTAATAATTATCATCGTACAAGAAGAAGAAGAAGAAGAAGAAGAAGAAGAACAACAACAATAATAATAAAACAAGAATAACAAAAAACATTTATCCACTAAGTTTAATCCCACTGTGGGGTCGGCTACATGAATCCTTTTTCTTCATTGTGTCATATTTAGTGTCAAATTTTCATTTAATTCTAATAGATTAAGAACATTTTTTATATAATATGCCCAAGTCCTTTTAAATCTAACTCTACCTTTCTTAACCAGATCATCAGATGGTTGGTGATTAATGTGACCTAAACATCTAAGAGAACTCTCTTTAATCTAGTGTGCCACGGGAGCTACACCAATCCTTTTTTTTGGATAGATTCGTTGTACATTTTGTCTCTAAGTGTCAAGCCACTCATCCACCTAAGCATTATCATCTCAGCTACACTTAACGTTGTTTTATGCTTCTCTTTTAAAAGCCAAAATTCTGAGTAATAAAGTATTGCAGGTCTCACCACCATCTTATATAATTTTCCTTTTAAGTCTAAGATATACTTTTCTATCACACAAATAGGCCCTGCTCATTCCTTCACTTCAACTAACCAACTTGAATTCAACTAATGGCATCCCCATCTATATCACCATCACTTTGAACAATAGACCCAAAATATGTAAAGCATTCACAACTTTTAATGATTTGATCACTCTTAGCAATAACTCCACTACTAGATATATATACTACAACTAAAATTACATTTCATGTATTTAGTTTTAGATCAACTCAAACTAAGACATTTAGACTCCAATGTAAACTCCAATGTACTCCAATGTAAACCTCCATAATTCAAGTTTTTTTTCTGAACTCTTTCTCTAGTCTTATCTATAAGAAGGATATCAACATCGAAAAGCATACCAACCAACCAAGGCATATCCTCATGTAAATGTCTAGTAAGTTCATACATAACTAAAGTAAAAAGATATGGGCAGCTTAAAGTTGATCCCTAATGTAATCCAACTGAAATTGAAAACTACAGGGTCAATCCTCCTTCAGTTCGAACAAAACAAGTATAGTAAACACATTTTTAATGACTTGAACATAATTCATATCAACTCATTTCTTCTCTAGAACTCTCTAAATGACTTCTCTTTATACACATACCAACCAATCCCCATGTATTTACATATCATACACACAAACTTTATTTTACATTCATACCACCAAAATCTTTCAAATCACATTAAAATATACCACTGGAATGCAAAATACCCCTTTTTATGCATATGTCAGGGAACACATATGTAAAAATGGAAGTTTATATGTTAGTATTTGTAAATACATAAGAATTAAGTGGTATGCGTGTAAATCTTCCTTAAGAAAACAAATAGCAAGAAGACGACACTCAAAATTAGAAGTCGCTAAGCATTGCAAAATTGTTGTAAATTTGAGAGAAATATGAATGATGCTTTAAAATATATTTTTTCCGATCTCCACTTATTTAATACTCATTAAAAAAAAATTAAGGAGTAAATATTGAAAATTCCACTGAAGTTTTGCTGTGCAAAACATGCTTATCTAAGCAGAAGATATTTTATCTCCTGCTTTAGAAAACTAGTTTTAAACCGGTCAAGTCAATTGGATTCTGAATGTTTAGTCCACCTCCAAGCCATTGTTGACTATCCCATCATCGACTTGGTCGTCTTTGCCAACTCCTAATCCCAACCGTCCGCTTCCATCTTGAATGCTTGAAAGGTCAACGTAAGTAATCCACTATTTATATGTACCCTTTGGAGTACTCAGAATTCTCACACAGCTTGCTCATCCTCCATTCTTTCTTGAACCTGAAAATACAGCTTTTTTTTTCGATACACCTAAACTAATTAAGCTAATGGCTTCTCAGGAAATTGAAAGTCACAGGGAGGGCGCCGAGGTCTTCAAGGGAGATGAAATCTGTAGGAAGAAGTCCATTGAATTGCTCGAAGAGCTCTGCCTCCCAAAGGGTTTGTTTCCCATGGAGGACATTGAGGAATTCGGCTATAACCGTGCTTCTGGCTTCATCTGGCTGATTCAGAAGAAGAAGAAGGATCATGTCTTCAAACAGATCAAGAGAGCCGTGTCTTATGCTTCGGAGGTGACCGCCTTTGTTGAGAAGTATAAGTTGAAGAAGATGACCGGTGTTAAAACGAAGGAGCTCTTGCTATGGCTCACTGTTGTGGAAGTTTATTTTGAAACTCCCACATCTGAGAAGCTCACCTTCAAAACTGGAACGGGACTTTCCGATAGCTTTATTGCTTCCGCTTTTGAGCTGTAGAGGCATCGATATGAGAGAAGACGATCATTACTGCATTACATTATGTTATGAATAGTCATATTACAGTCTTTATCGTTTTTCATTGTAGTTTTGCATGTAGTTATTTGTGTATTAGTTTTCTGTGATTGTAGTTGTGTTTTTCAATGAAATAATATTTTGCTTGTTAAATTGTTTTGGAAAAGAAAACCATAAAATTCACTGTGTTAAATTCAAAATTATTCATTGAATCACACTCAAGAGATAGAGTGTTAGGTACCAGGAGGGAGAAACAGAGAGAGAGAGAGAGAGAGAGAGAGAGAGAGAGAGAGAGAGAGAGAGAGAGAGAGAGAGAGAGAGAGAGAGAGAGAGAGAGAGAGAGAGAGAGAGAGAGAGAGAGAGAGAGAGAGAGAGAGAGAGAGAGAGAGAGAGAGAGAGAGAGCACGGGAACTTGGCCCTCAGGGCCAAAACAAGGAATTCCTGGACTCTTTTGCCCCTTAATGAGAGGATTACAAAGAGGGAATCAAAATGATCCTAATACATGAAAGAGTCCTATTTATAGATTATAAGAGGACAAAATATAAAATTACAATGTTAACCTTGCTTAAAAGGGATAGTACATGGCATAATGGTCTTATGTCCTGTTGGAACCTATCGTTCAGAAGCTATGTGGTGGAGCTAGAATTAAGTTGGCTAGTCGATTGGTTAAGCAGGTCGGCTGGTTGGTTGGTCGGCTGACTATGGGTAGTCGAATAACTATGTGGTGGCTAGCTGTCATCTAGTTGACTAAATAAAGGTATTGGGCTGGTCGGCTGGTTGGCAGGCTGTGGATTGCAGGCTGGTCGGCTGCTTTTGGGTGGCCAATTGGTCGGTTGGTTCTCTACTGGAAGGTCATGCTTGGTCGGTTGTCTACAAGTGAGTGTTGGTTGGTCGGTCGTCCACTGGAGGGTCGTGCTCAACCGGTTCTACCGAAGGGTGGTGGTTAGTTGGTCAGTTAGTTATCGAATCTTTTCAAGGTTAGCGGAGCACTTTTTTCCCATACACTATACCATGAGCACACTCACAAAGGAACTTATCAAACAAATATCAAGAATTAAAAATATTAAATTTTAGCATAAAAACCCCCGCAAATAGAGGAAAATTCATGGGACATATAGGCCACTTCAAACACCTCCACTAATCAATCTTCCCTTGCGATCACGAGAATGAAAGGCTCCACCATACATGAGGTTTCTTGGCATACAATAAACTCTATTTTAGTATCATTTTTGTCATCATATCAGAACCATTCTCATTAGTATGAATTTTCTCAAGTTGTAACATTTTTGAGTCTAACACAACATAAATCCAATGATATTTTATATCAATATGATTTGAACATGAGTGAAATGTGAAATTCATGCTGAGATAAATTGTAATTTGACTATCACAATAAAAGACACTTATCTTGCTTATGACCCAACCCTTGTAGGAAATTCTTCATCCACAAGACTTCTTTTCAAGCTTCTGCTACTGCAATATAATGAGCCTTAGTAGCTGACAAAGCCACACACCTTTTTAGTTTAGATTACCATGAAACTGCTCAGCCTGCAAAAGCAACCAAGTATCCCGAAATGACTTTTCTTGAGTCTACATTGCCAACAATATATACATCTGTGTAACCATCCAAAATAAGATTATCATTTCCAAAACAAAAACATATTTTGGAAAAATCTCTGAGATGCCTGAAAATCAACTTAACTACTGATCAATGCTCTTTTCTTGGATTGGAATAAAACCTGTTAATAATGCCAACTATATGAGCAATATTTGGCCTTGTGAATACCATAACATACATCAAACTATCCATAATGGATGCATAAGGCACATTTTTTATTTCTTGCTTCTCATCATCACTTTTAAGGCATTATTTAGTGCTAAGTTTAAATTGAGCTACAAGTGGAAAAAAAACTGGTTTCACATAGGTCATATTGAATCTCTTCAAAACTCTCTGTACCTCTCCTAAGATCATCATAGCTTGTTCTTCTTCTTGTCACGAATAATCGTTATTCCAAGTATGTGCTTGAGCTTCTCAATATTAGTCCTATCAAGACTAACGATCAACATATCATCGACATATAGTAAGCGAATCACAAGATTACTATCAGAGAACTTTACAAGAATAAAATGGTCAGAAATAGTCTTACTATAACTATGTATTTTCATAAAAGCATTAAATTTTTAGTATCACTATCATGATACTTACTTAAGACTGTATAAACTCTTTCTCAATTTGCAAATAAGGTATTCTTTTCCTTTGTCTTTTAAGCCATAATGTGAGAGATTGAGGCCAAAACTAATAACTTTAACATTTGATTGAATTATGCAAGCAACATATAAGTTGAACTTTGTTCGACTAATTCTACAGTGTATGGAAAAGTTTGATTGCGGGAGATTTTATCCCTCGAGTAAAATATTGACAACTGAGTTAGAGCAAACTCTTTGGCAACTTGACAAAGTTCGGATTCGGCCGACTTAGACTTGGTGAGTTTCGGGTTATACAACATTCAACTTGTTTTACACAATGATTTCTTAAACTTGGCTCATTTTTGTGTAAACCTTACTGACCTGGTTTAGATAAACATTAAGTAAATTAAAATTGAAATGAAAAGGTTTGGAAGCTAGTCATATAACTGTATTCTGCTTAATTAATATAATTGTTAGTCAATTCTAACAATTAACGCGTTCCCAGAAATTTCCACAATTCCAGGCACTCTTTCTTCGTAGAATTAAATAAGCTTTCCTGATGACTCAGACTGATGCTGTTTTCTGAAGTCTCTCCCACAATTTCTCACATAAAGAAATCGAAATACTTGAGGATTAGTTCACTTCCCAGCCATTATTGACCTTGACCTCGTCATCCACGCCGTCTCCTCATTCTCAACCGTCCGTTTTCCATCATCAACGGTCCCTGGAGGAGTCACAAGTTGCGGGCTTTCCACAAAGTCAAACTTTTTACTCCTCCCCATGTACTATTAATACCCCTTCCAGCGTTCAGATTTCCCTCACAGCACATCATTTCTTCTTAAAGATTAAACATTTTCTTCTTCCATACACCTCAATTAATTCCATGGCTTCTCAGGCAATTGAAAGCCACAGGGAGGGCGCTGAGGTCTTCAAGGGAGATGAAATCTGCAGGAAGAAGTCCATTGAATTGCTCGAAGAGCTCTGCCTTCCAAAGGGTCTGTTTCCCTTGGAGGACATTGAGGAATTCGGCTATAACCGTACTTCTGGTTTCATCTGGCTGATTCAGAAGAAGAAGAAGGATCATGTCTTCAAGCAGATTAAGAGAGCCGTGTCTTATGCTCCGGAAGTGACTGCCTTTGTTGAGAAGTATAAGCTAAAGAAGATGACTGGCGTTAAGACGAAGGAGCTCTTGCTATGGCTGTCTGTTGTTGAAGTCTATCTGGAGACTCCCACATCTGAGAAACTCACCTTCAAGACTGGAACGGGACTCTCTGATAGCTTTGTTGCATCAGCTTTTGAGCTGTAAAGCTATCAGGATAAAGAGAAGACTGCCATTACTGTATCACATATGAGTTCTGTTTTTACAGTCATTTATCGCTACTTGTTACTTTTCAAGAGATGTATTGTACCAGATTTAATATGATTGTAGTTATTTGCTTCTAAATGAAATATTAATATGCTTCTTAATCTGGCATCGAATTCTGGAATGCAAAGCCACTTCTCAGGACTTAGCCCCTTCATATAAGAAATCTGGACTAAGCAATTATGAAAGAAGAACTATTGATGTTTAATAGGAAAAACAGAGAAAAAACTGCCCGTAAGTATCAATTTCATGGATTACTTAGGTAAACTAAACGAAAAAGCTTAATGAATTTTAAGTCTTAAGTGAGCTTAGTATACTGGTTAAACAAAAAGGCTATTTGACATAGACTCGTAAAACCTTTTTCGAGGTTTGGTTTCATAAACTTTCTAGTCTGATTAGCAAGATTAATAATAATGATGAGTACTTAATTATGTGCTGCTAATCAATGTATTGACTTAGTAATTAAGAGTTGAATTTAAAATTTTTATACGCTTCTGTGTGGGTCTCTCCCTCATAAATTTTTGGACAAATTTTAAAATAAGAATTTTCTTAGAAGAATACTTAATACATCTAAAATCTCTTGATCTTTCTCCTCCAAATCCTATGTATTCCTCCATGAAAAGGGTGGGAGTTAGTTTACAGATTTTGGTGCGTGAATATGAACCATTCCATCAGTGCAGTGATTTCATTGATGGTACAATGTTGCCCGAGTATTTTATGACTTAATGATATTAGAAATGAATAATATTAAATATACTGCATTTGTCTCATCAAGCCACTTGACATGACTATAAATTTGTAAGAATTAGAGATTGTGTCATTTTGGTTTGTTTTGCCAAGATATTCAATTTAGTTATTATTTTAAACTTTGAGAGTAGATGATCTTTAATTTGATTTAGGAAGCTTTCATGTACATGATACCTAAGGATTTGTGTCCGATCAAGATGAATTTTTGGTGACAAATAGATATATAAAACCCGAAAAAGAAAAGTTCAAGGAGCTTGTCTTATGTGAAGATAATCTATAGCGTACTTATTATGGGAATGAATGGGAACACAATGAAAAGAAACCACATACTTATGATAAAGTATGAATACAAGCACACTGTCTATATGTAGACAAATGGATATATATATACATATATATATGTAGTACAAGGTTATTCTTAAATAAAATTAATTTGCATGATGATATGTTATAATAATGTTGTCATGAATTTTTGATAATATATAGCTAACTCATATTTCATTTAAATTAAATGAAAAAAGTAGTGATGGATTAATGGCATGAAGAATCAATCTCAGAAAAATAACTACTGAGTGCATCACAAAAATTGCTGGAAAATGAGAACAAATATGAATTACATTACAAAATTAAGCGGCTTTTTAAAATAGTTTTGCCCAATTATCATATACATTGCTACTTCCTAAATAGGCCTTTTTTTTATTTTTTTTACAAGTGGAAAAAAAATTTCTAATTAACTCATATTAGGATAAGTTTATGGCTTGTGGCCCAAATCAATTTTTTCTTTTCTTTTAATTTTTTTTAATAATTTTTAGGCTGAAAATTAGAGTTTAAGAGCATTTTGGTAATTTTTATTAGTATTTGTTTTTAAAAATTCAATAATAATTTTTATTAGCTAGTTTTGGTTGGCTTTCACATGAGTTGGTTGAGATGTCACTGTTAAAAGCCGCCTAAAATATTATTGTTTGGTGGTTGATATAACAATCATGTGGCCCATTCAATGAACATGTACAATTGCAACTAACTATATATGAATTTAGCTTTAGAATTCATAGGAGAGGGCTTGATGCTATATATGATTTTCTTGGAACAATACACATCTTCTTAAATTCGATTTTGTTGATAAAAAATTCCTAGTATTTAATAAGAGAATGGAATCAATTCAACTTAAAGAGAGAAAGGGAGAGATATAATGGGGATCAATAATTCTTTTAGAGAAAACCTTTTTGAACAGTTTAAACTAAGAAGGGTGACTCAGATGAAACTATAATGAAAAAAATTATAGAGATTTAGAGGAGATATCTAAAGAGATTTGTGTTATGTTTATAGATAATTATTGTAAATTCAAGCCCAAATAGTGATCTTTATTTGTAAATGATGGATATGGTTATAAAATTGGTTTTGTGGTTGATTTATGTAGAGAACAGATAAATTGAACTTGATGCAACTAGTTATGTTGTAGAAGAGTTAGAATAATAGTTGGTTGTTAGTTGAGAACTTTAAGCAAGTTTTAAATTGATGCTTAGTACTCATAGCAAGTTTTTATAATGAGAACCCTAAATTTGCTAGTGAATACTTGATGAGAGTTGACAAGTTCCTGTGAGGTTACATCCTTAATTGATAAGAACGTTGTTTTAATTTTTTGATTGAATTTAAATGCTTAATATTGAAGAACTTTTCAAGTCTAAGTCTTGGCTCGGTTGGCAAGACTCATGTCTAGGAAACTCAAGACTTTTGGTGACAATTGCTCGACACATTTTGAGTTGTAGATAATTCATGGATATTCATCATTATTAACTTCTTAAACCAAGTTTAGGTGTTCATATTGATTTGATTAGCTTGAATGATGAAAATATGTACATATATTAGTTTTAGAATGAAGAGGCTTTAAAAGTAGAGTCACAATATTGTGCTCTTTTGAGTTGATATGACTATTAGGGCTGTCAAATAAGCTCGTTGTTTGGTTTGGTTCATCAATATGAGTTCGTGTTCGATTCGTTTAATAAGTAAACGAGATGAACGTGAACAAATTGTTTTCGTTTGGTTAGTTAAATGAACTAAACACAAATAGTGATGCGTTCGTTTGTGTTCGAATAGTTATTGTTCGAAATATAAAATAATTAAAAATAATTATATATATATAATATATATACTATATTAGCAATATACTAATATATATATTATTTATTTATATAATATAAGCAGTATAATTAATATAATATATTATTTATATATATATTAATTTTAGGGATGTCAAACTAGCTCGTCGTTCGCAAACTAAGAAACAAACACGAATAATTTCGAACAGAAATTTATTTTAAACAAACTAAATTTCAAACGAACAGAACACGAACACATGCTCTGTTCATTCGTGTTCGGTTCGTTTACACCTCTAATGACTGTTAAGAAACTCCAAAGCAATCAACTATAACAACCCTAGTGCACCATAATGGGAAACTTTTTATAAGATTTATTTCAGCAAGAAGTTCTATGTCTTGCATATTCAACATCTTATAATAGAATTTGATAAATAAAAGTCACTAGGGGACTCTTTGGGCTCTACTCAAGTGTTTTAAGAGCTTGAGAGATATTCAATAACTTTTGGCACAAATAAGCGAAGTAATTAATTGTTGCTTAAAGCAAAACGAAGGTTATGCTTTTTGAAGCGTGAGAGAGATCCTTCATTGTGGTGCCTAAGAAAGTTGTAAAAAAGCAAGTAATATTTTACCACAACACTCTTGATATTAAGATAGATTGTTGACTCAAAGGAAATGACATGGGCAATAGGGTTCTAGTTAAGCGTCACAATTTTGAGCATTGATGGTGTTTGAGACTCTTATATTTAGATGGAAATCTTTTGTAGTAGATGCTAATGTTTTGTAAATGTAGATGGAGAATTTTGATCACTATACTATAATGCAGTCTTCATTATATTTTCTTTATATTTTTTACTTTCTTCTATTTTGATTTCATCTATTATAATTTTATTAGTGTTTAAGTGTTAGCGCTAATGTTCAGTTGAGCTGTTAAGTGGTTGTATAAATATCACTGTTTGTATCTTTTATGAACATTTTCTTACTCGTGAGGAATTCTTATTTCAACTTAACTCAACAGACCAATCATCCTTTGCCCCAACCTGCGACACAAAGGACATCAATTTCTATGTTGGAACCAAGTAATTACCTTGGAATTCCTTGCTTTACAACAACAAGTGACCTAATCCATTATCCCACCAACCTCCAACAACATATAATGACCATCATTAGATCTTAAGACCAAGTTAAACTTTGATGGTTGATTCAAATATACAACACTTGCCTTATAAATCACAATTTCAATCCGTGGTAGGAGATTAATTTCACCATTACACTCAAGCCTGTGACAAAATGCCAACCAAACACATGTTACTTACAATTGCATTGCATTTCAATTATTTGGTTTTGCTATGATCTTAAAACCAAGTTAAACCTTGATGGTTCGATTCAACGATACGAAGCCCACCTTGTAGCTTAGAATTTTGATCAATGGTAGGACATTAATTTCATTGATACATTCATTCATGTTGCCAAAATGACAACCATACACATGTTACTTACAATTGCATTACATTTTAACTCTTTAGTTATAAATTAAATGTATTCAACATTTTTTTTATGGCAAGCTACAAGAATACGTAAATACTGCTGTTCGGCCCTACACCTAGCCGATGTTAGACTATTGTGAGACTATTTGTCTGTGACATTCTCCTCCACCCAATCATGTGACACCTTCGTCACGGATCGGCTCCACCGAGGGTCCCACTCGACCATGGAGAGTCCACACACCTGAGAGACAGTAATCTGCTCTGATACCACTTGTCACCTCCCAAAAGAGCCCTTGTGGGTCGTGGGCAGCCCAGGACTTAAATACTGTTTTTTGGCCCTACATCTTGTCGGATCCAATATTTAAATGGAAGATTTACATACATACCAGTCCTTCCTACCTATTTACATATCTAAAACTCAAACTTCAATTTGTAATACATAACACCTTATCCATGCTGAAAAGATATATTTCACTTTTCAAAAGCATAAAAGGTAGTATTACTTTTGATGTTATTTGAAAGATTTTGTTGGTATAAATGTAAAAAAAATTGAACCGTATGTCTTACATATGTAAATACATAAGAATTGGGTGATATGCAAGTAAAAAGTCCCGTATTAAATTAGCTTATCCTGCGCCCGTATTCTTAGAATAAGATTGTCAATTTTATGTTGAACATATTTCTCGATTTCTGTTCGGGTAATAAAAATATAAAAACATGCTACACAAAAATAAATTCTACAACGAAAATACAGAGTCAAGTTTCTGAAGGATTTAACGACTTTCCCCCCGCCATTGTTGACGATCTCAACCTTGACTGTGTCGTTCTTGTCGCCTCCTCAATCCCAACCGTCCGCTTCCATGATCGAATGCCTGAAAATTCAACATACGTGTTAAAAGGTCAAACTCTTAACTCTCCCCATTTCCATTATTTATACCCCTTGCATTCACTTCCCTCACAGCAAGCAGGCCCATCTGTTCTATCCTAAACCTCAAGTAGTTTTTACACTCTTTAATCAACCTAATGGCTTCTCAAGTAATCGACAGCCACAGGGAGGGTGCCGAGATCTTCAAGGGAGATGAAATCTGCAGGAGGAAGTCCATTGAATTGCTCGAAGAACTCTGCCTTCCAAAGGGTCTGTTTCCCTTGGAAGACATTGAGGAATTCGGCTATAACCGTACTTCTGGCTTCATATGGCTGATTCAGAAGAAGAAGAAGGATCATGTCTTCAAGCAGATCAAGAGAGCCGTGTCTTATGCGCCGGAGGTCACTGCCTTCGTTGAGAAGTATAAGTTGAAGAAGATGACTGGTGTTAAGACGAAAGAGCTTTTGCTATGGCTCTCTGTTGTGGAAGTCTACCTCGAAACTCCCACGTCTGAGAAACTCACCTTCAAGACTGGAACGGGACTTTCAGATAGCTTTATTGCTTCTGCTTTTGAGCTGTAATTCTATAAGATAAGATGCATGGCGAGAAAAAAATAATACAGAGGATTAATGCATAATTGCAATATTATCATTATTTGTGATGCAATTTTACATGATCTTCTACTGTTTCTCTTCTTTTGTGATTCTGTCTGTATTCGGTATTTAAATATGACTGTATTTTCTTCTTCATAATAAGATCTTATATTGAAATTAAGTGAAAAATAAAAAATGAGAATGATTTTGAACGGAAGCTAAAATTATTGAAGCAGATCGCAAAGTCAACACAAATGCATTAATTGCAGGATTCTATACTGCTCATTTTCAATGCTCAAAGTCGTATCGGAGACTTTGCTGTTTGGGTACAGCTAGTTTTTCTTGACACTTCAACAAATTCTGACTTTTCTGGCTATCATGATTTGTTAGCTGTTCTTGTTATTATTATTATTTCAATCTTCTTGTCAAATTATACAAATTTTTCGTTTTGCAAATGAAGTCAGACCGTGAATATTAAGATTGAAAAAATGTAAAAAAATAAAAGAAGCTCATAGTATGATCAAAGTATATGATCATCATAAGAGATATATAATCATTAAAAAAATTTATACTTTATTTTTTCAGGCTTAATTTTAGATCATTTTTATATAGATTTGAATTACAGAAAAAATAACAAGTAATTTATTTATTTTAAGTTTTATTCTATAATTTTTTTTATTTTTTTAATGAAATTATTCTATCACTTGGGTTTTGAGCAACTTATTAAAACTTAAATGTTGTATGTCTAGTGGTTATATTAGGATATGGACTAAATTAACAAAGTCATTATTCTTATGATTGATAATTTAAATAATGAACATCTAAAGGATCTATCATTGGAGAAAATATTACGTCTGGCAAACGGTTAACGGGTTGTGTGGACAACGGCGTGGATCGCACCACACTGTACGTTCATCAGCGTGGTGTGATCCATGCAATTGTCAGCATGTCAACCGTTCGGTAGTAAAGTTTTCTCCTATCAGTAACCTTGTTTATGGCCTTTGGCATTGCCAAACCCTTAAGAAAATCAATCGGATTATATCTTTCGTGTCAGACCTTAAAGAAAAAAAAATTATGAATCAGACTATCAAATGGATTCTTAATGAGCAACAATTTCTTAATAAAATCTCATCAGGAAGTTATTTATGTACATGGATTTATTTTGGTATCATAAAGTTTTTGTTTACTTAAATCATAATTATTATACATTTAATTAAATTTTCTTAGACAGTATCAATTAAATGATTGCTACAAAATTCATCGCAGCTCGTTTACATATTCTCCTAATAGAACCACAGGTTTCATGAATTTTCTTTGTGGAAATAAATATATCATATTGTTAAATAAGAAATGTAATAAACATAGTAGAATTGGAGCTAGCTTGGCTTGGGCTTATATAAAGTACTTGATCAAGAGAAAGTGTTAAAATAGTTCTCAATTATTTACATAGAGCCATTTTAGTTCCAAATTTTATAAAAGTGTAAGATAGTATCATACATTTTAAATTAAGGCTGAAATAGTCTCATTGGAAGAATATTAAAGCTTAATTTTAGAATTTTTGGTGACTATTTTGACATTTCTATAAAATTTGAACTAACACGATCTCATGCAAACAGTCAGGGACTATTTTAACACTTCACTCAGTAATAAATCGAGTTTGAGCTCAAGCTCGAGCATAATTCTACGAGTTTGAAGAGGCTCAAGAGCTACTTGTTTAACATGAAAGAGGAAAAATAATATATATTCAAGCTATTGCAACAATAAAATAAAAAAAAGAATATGTAATTTTGTGATAAATAATACAAAATTATATTATTATGAAAGAAAAAAAAATATCAAATTTATGTTAATGTCACCATAAAATCGTATAAGGAAAAAGCAATTTTGTGATAAATAATATAGTTGTTTTACATTAATCATAAAATATAACATTAATTTTGCAATTAATAACAACTAATGTTCTTGTTATAGTTGGGGATTGGTTGGACTGCACTTGATTAGATTAGAACGTCCGAACTGATCAAATTTATACATAATTAAATTTCAATCATTATTTTTATTTTGAGATGAATATAATATATAACTAATCAATTAAATTTTGATATGATAATTATCTCGAAGCAAATATATTGGGGGATATAAATTTTTTTTTTGATTAAATATGATTGTACAAATTTTATATTGATTGAATGATTTTCATATAATTTAGTGAATGTAAACTGTGTAAGATGGCTTCAATGGTGCTATGATGGAAGTAGGATTCTTAAGACATCAAAGTTATCATCTAAAGATAATCAATAGCTCGTTCATTTTAGTTATAGGATTGAAGATTAGTGATGAGAAAAGAGGACTTGATCGTTGTGAAGATTATAGACGTTGAAGTCGTTGACGAGGACAAACGACATCGGGCATCACGGATGGTGTTCATAGCAAGGGTCAAAATGATCGATGATAACATGCATCGAAGTTGGCAATTAATGATATCAACGATAAATAAATTTGTGCTGATAGTAAATGTTAGTACTTATATCAATGGTGGCCATGCACTATATTGTTGGTGATGATGCGTACGTAGATGGGTGTTTATTGAGTTGGTTTGGGATGAAAAATATTGAAGTTGATGTTAAGGAGTGCATTCATCTTATTTGTGATGGTAGCAATCAATGTTACCCTTGTTGGTTGCTATGTGTATTACGACTTGTAACAATAGTGTACATTGTTAGAAGAATGTAAACATTGACGCTGACGGTGGGTTATAGTGAAAATTTTGGGTACCAAGGATGTTAATGTTTTGGTGATATTGTAATTATCTAGAGTTTAATTTTATGCATCATGGTTCTTAGTGTCAAAGGGCAATGACATTGTTGTAGTTTATATTGACTGTTGGCTTATGCAATGACACTTAGCCGGCCACCTCTCTCCTTCCTTCATGTTAGAAACCTATCCCCAGCCGGCAACCTACCTCCGCTTATTTGGGAAGATTTGCGTACATAACACTCAATTCTTATGTATTTTTTATATTTACATACATACCACTTAATTCTTATTTATCCAGCAAAACACAACCAAGTAGATTTACATACATAACACTCAACTCTTACATATGTATGTGCATACCACTCATTCCTTAGCCTTTACATACCTAACTCATCAAATTGGTTTATCGGCCAAGCACCTCACTTTTCAGCCGGCCATCTCACAAGTAGAGAAGAAAATGATCACAAGCCTTTGAACGACCATCTACTTCCGCCCAGTCGTCAACTACTCGCAGGTCATCTCAGAAGAAGAAAGATTAACAAAAATTAAGGCTCCGCGAACTCAAGTTCTGATGACTGCTCAATGCTTGGGGAACTCAAAAGAAGAAATATCTACATATTCAATACACTTTTATATTTACATGGCAACTCTTCAGCTTTTACATATTTATATGCATGTGTTGCCCAATCCGTTTTCCCAGCAAAATGCCGACCAACGGACTGCTCCAAGCCTCTAACCACTTCTGTCCGACCATCCACCTCCACTCGACCATTTTAAATCAGGAAAGATATACATACATACCACTCAATCCTTATATATTGATACATATACATACACATATATATAGATGCCAAACTTAGATTTTGGAACAAAATTTGAATCAGATTGTCAAATGAAATTTTTATAAAAACTATAAGCAAATGCAGTAATCGCATTTTATGCACAAAAACTTAACTATATTCATAGAGGTCTTTAGCCCCCATGCAGGCTATTGTTTTCCGATGCACATTGTTATTTTCTTCGAGGCTCCCTTTGTGAGACTAATATCCTGTATCTCTATGTGAAAGTTCAAAGTGTAAATAGAGAGAGGTTGAGCTCTTACATGCCAGTAACCACTTACAATTGGGAACTCGAGTCAGGGTAGAAAAACAAAAAACAACTCCAAAAGCGTCCTCTCGGTCTGAAATAGAAGAAAGAACTGACAATGACATCAAGATCGTTTGATCGGTAATGATAGCCGATGGAATGTATTAACACCCGATAATGACAAGCTTCGCGAGGAGGGACAAAACAATCGTCCTGCCTCTAAATCATAAAGGAAGCACCTGACAGCAACAAGCTCTGTGAAGGGTGTTTAACGATTGCTAGAGACAAATGGGACATATTGGTTGTTGGCAAGGACAAGCTCCGTGAGCGGTGCGTAAACGATTACAATGTACCCAAATCATAAAATTAACACCCGATAACGACATGCTCGCAATGGGTGCTTAAATGATCATTATGCGCCCAAATTATAAAATTAATACACGGTAACGTCAAGCTCCACGAGGGGTGTACAATTCAAAGACTTCTTTCAGGGGCGACTAACTCTAAGACTCCCCTCTGGGACGAGCAAATATATTACTCTCTTGTGGGGCAAGCAATTAAAAGACCCACCTTTGGGGCGAGTAACACTTATAATTTTCCTCCGACTGCCGACCTTTCCTCCGACGGTCGTCTTTTTCTCTGACGGCAGACTTTTCCTCCGACCGGCCAGTGAAACTCGACAACTATCTTCCAACAAGAAAATGCTAGAATCATAGAATGAGTAGATGACGACAAAGCATGAGTACCAAGCATGAAAAGCTCTTAGAGGGAGTATCATTAGCAAATTATGCATTGAATGCTTGTTTGATTTATAAATTTCATTGTCCTTACTGTAGTTGTCACTATCAAGGAGCAAAAAGATTTGGAAACTTATTATGTATACTAAAAAATTGTCTGCATGGATCTTGAGGCAATCTAGTAATTGGCCACCTCACTTTAGTCGGTCGGTCAAGCTATCTCACTCAACCACCTCACTTTAGTCAGCCAACCAAGCCCTTTTTCTCGACCACGTCATTTTAGTCAACTGACCACCTCTCTCCTTCGACAGTTTGGATAATCACGGTAAATCAATCATCATCTTCAGAAAATTCACATATAAGCCACTTAATTTCTTATTTATTAATTGTCATCAGGACCGAGACAAAGAAACATAGACATGAAAGTGCATCGATCTCGAGACGATCCAACGATCGAAATAAAAAGAACTAAAATGTCCTTTACTTTTCTCTTCAAAGCATAACCAAATATATAATTTTTGTACTTTTTTCTCCTATCTTCTATGAATTATAGGGCTTCATGATATAAAGGGGGGG